TATATTGCCCAAGAGACTGTGGAGTTTCCATCAGTGGAGATACTCAAAACCCAACTAGACACAGTCCTGCTCAGGCTGTGTGCTTGAGCCAGATGATCTCAGAAGATTCTGCATTTAAGATCAAGGCTGAGCACAAGATTTTACAATTAGTCTGTATAAATAATTGCTGTGCTTCCCTCATCATTCAGAGGACCTCTGAAAAGCATTGTGAGTTTTGGTTTTCATTTTGAGGGCTTTTTTTAAGAGAGTAAGTTCTTCCCTGTGTGTCCAGGCAACAGAAGGTATACACCAAACTTGGGTTTACACAACAACACCATTTCAAAACAGCTACACTAGGGGGAAAAAACCCTGTTTACCGATTATTTGACACCAGCATTTTTCCCTACCATTGTTGTCTCTTCCCTTACCTGAGCAACGTCTTCAAGTTTGTTCCATTTTAAAGAGAGCAGCAGTTTTGGCAATGATTGTGGGAAATTTTCACGACAGTCATATCGCAATGTCCAAATGAGATCCATTTCATTTTCACAGAGTTGAGATAAAGGATCTCTTTCCATTATTTCTTTTAGCACAACATAAAACTTCTTACCACCTCGACCCTAGAAAATGAGAATGTGCAATATTATGATAAATTCAGTAAGACTCATACTTTAGCTCAAACACTAGAAATCCTACAGCAGGAAGAATGTTAGAAAAAACTCATGAAACACAGGGGAATGACCAATGTGCCTTTCTTTCAGATTTCAGACTTCTTAAGTTGTAAGCACTGTAGCTCAAAGATCCCAAATTCAGTGTGCACATTCTTCTGAAAAAGTAACTAAACTTTAGACTTAATGACACTAGATGGCAATATTTCTGTTCTCCAACTCCAACATGGAGAACTTTCCTTTAGGATGCACATACGTTCTTCTCCTGTTCCTCAAGTGAGCAAATTGCATAGATACATGGAGAATTTTTTTAATTAAAAGCAAAAAAAATACTTTTTCTACAATAACCAAAGGAAAGTGTATTTGCCAAGCAGACAAACATTTTTGTCTTCTCTTTTTTCCAGATCTAATTTAAACCTTAGCTGTGTCCAAATCCACAGAGCATGTAAAGTTTTCTTTGAAAAAAATACAGCCAAGTGCAAAATACATTGGACAAAGCACATATAAACCTGCATTTTAAGGTAGTTCACCAAGGAGAATTATATAAGAACACAGAGCATGTAGAATTGTTATTTGAGCAGTTGACTTCTTTATTTCTAGATTGATGTAGAAGATAAAACAAAAAAACCCAGAAAATTAAGTTTAAAAGTCTTTAGATGATGCTCACCGCCATTGCAGCATTGTCACTATTTCTTGCAATCTCAGCTGCCTTTTCAAGTATCTGCAAAAAGTTGGATTTTAATACATTAGATTTGAACCCAAATCAGATTGCATTGTCAGAAGAAGCATTATAGAAATGATGCAAATAGGGACATTTTGGTATCTTTTATAGAGTTACAATACTATTCTTAACACAGACTTCTGTGCTGTGTCCATTTTCTACTCTGCAGGACTAGGGAGATCAGGAATAGGAGTCCCAATGACATCAAATTTCTTTCTTTTTCACCATTCCTGGGCTAAACAGTCTCTCCAATCACATCTTGCTTTCTGGTTCTGTTTGCATTTCTTCTTTATCTTTCAGTACAGCAAATCAACTCCTCAATTCTCAATTATCCTTTGCTGACTCATTTCTACTTCTGCAGTATCCAAGGGCACTGCTTCCATGACTCACACCTGGCACCCACAGATCCATACTTCTAGTCCTCTATTTCAGTGTGAGTCCACAAACTCAGTCCTTTCACCTTCCTCTCAGATTGTCCATATGATCTCAGTGTTTCAGGTACTTCTCTAGATCTAGGATCTTCCCTTGTGCAACGTCAGGACAAAACAGACTCCAAAAAGAACTCATTGAACAATACAAGCTCTCAGCACCAGTTACTACACACCAACCCAGTTACTACACACCAACCCACAGGAACAAGGACTGCTGGTGTTAACAGCAAAGCAACATCTCCCCAGAAGCTCAGCTCTGAATTACACTTGCTGTTATTTTTTTGCCTGTTTGAATATTCTACTTAGTTTTTGAAGTTCATGTAATAAACCATGATGGACAGTTAAGTACAGATGTAAATACAGTTCTTCAAACTGCATTCTGCACACTACTGCATACAGCAGACAGGTGTTGGAATGGTGACTGCCCAAGCCAATCTGACCAGCTGCACTGGTTAGATAGGTCTATCTACAGTTGTCAGATACTGCTGCTTTGACGAACAAATCTGAAAATGAAATCTCAGTTCAGAAAAAATTCTAAGGAACTGCAGCACCTCCTTTTCCTCAAGAGCTCTTCCTCTCCCATCACCCAGGAATATAACAGCACCCCCAGACACAGGTTCAGCAAGACTTGTGTTGTCTTTACTCAGGCAACATGAGAAACAACAACAAAAAAATAATCAGAGCAGAAATACCCGGCAGCTAAAATCCCTAAAAAAGGTACACCAACTTGTTTTAGTTCTTTGTCTGTATCACATTCTTATTAATATGATGTATTACATCTGCTACTTGGCCACAATGCTTGTTTACATACTGTGTGTGAAAACATGCATAAACAAACCCACAATGCCCTAATTCTATGTTTGATGCTTGCCTCCCCATGCTTTTCTGACTTACTCTGTTTGCAAATAAACTCTGAAAGTCTTTGCAAGTCCAGCTTTGTTCGACTGAGCCCTGAGCCTTGCAGTGTGCCAGCAGGACAGGTCATTGACCAGCCCAACACGACTCCTGCCTCAGACAACAGTTCCTTATCAGTGGCCCAGGCACTTTTGCTCACCCACCCCCAACAAGCCAGGAGCTGTGCAAGCAGGTTGACGATATGATTGAAAAGATTTATCTATTTTTGCACATCTTAAAATAAGAATGTGGCATCCAATTCTCTCGTTTCTTGGCAGAAACAAGCAACAACACTGGGAAAATTAGAAGCAGCCAAGAAAGCAAGTTCCAGCTAGACACTTCTGAGAAGCAGATTCTCAGCTGATGTAATTCTAGCAACTACAACATAACTCCTGATTCAACATAACCTTCACCAAGAGAATCTTTCAGAGATGGAGTTAAATAAAGTTGAAAGTTACAAGGAATGGTGAAGACCATAGACACCTTAACATCACTACATCAGGGAACTCATTCAGTAAAATCTTTGTCTGCATCCAGCTCAGCATTTTAACACATCATGAACATCATTAACAACAGAACTAGAACAAGTATGTGATCACTAAAGAAACATCCTTGTACTTAAATTGTCTGTAATATGCACATCAACACAGTTTTTCTCTTTAGAGATTAAATACACCTAGTGTAATGAGCAAAAATCTTAAAGCACTACAAATAAACCAGTACCAAAACTGACTAAAATGTGTCCACCATGAAGAGTCAACTGGTCAGCCATAAACAAGGCAGCAATCAGTCATTACTGGTTTAGCTCTTACAGCATTTCCAATGCTGTTCTCATAAAAGACCAAGTACTGTGCTGACAGGGGGGAGGGGGAGGATCAACCCAAAAATCAAAACAGAAAAACCTATCTTGTTGCTTGATTTAATTTTGATGAACCTTAAACCTCAAATTGCTCTTTGACCAAGCTTGGTGGTTTCAGTCTCTTCGTTAGTGCCCCCTCAAAGGTGCAAACCCCACAAGAAAATTCCAACAAAACAGAACAGAAAAAAACCAAAAAAAGCAAATTTTCATTAAGTGGTTATTAACTTTCCCAAAACCAAAACTTAACATGTATGAGTTAAACCTTGTTTTTATAATGCATCATCAGCTGTCTGTTCTAAGACTTGTTTCATTACTTGTTACCTGATCTCAGCTTTCTTTGCTGGTTTTCTATCTGTCCTTCATACTACAGACATTACCATGTGTATTCCAAATATACACCTCCTTTCTAGACAGATATTCTTATCCATATCTGTACAAAACTGCAGGGCAACTTCAGTGGATTTAATTCAAGAGCAGACCTTCAGAAATCTCTTTTCACACAGTATTAAGAGTATATTTATCCTTTAAAGGACTTGAGCTCATAGAGCAGTGTCCTAAGGAGTGGTAACACACACTTGTACAAAGAAAGATCTTTATAGATCACAGGTAAGCACAGTTTGAAGGTTTCCAGAATAGCAGATAAATTTAGCTTTTTGTTAGATCATTGATATGGGAACCTGATTATGCTTTTGTCCCTCCAAAGACTTATGTACAGAGTATTTTTAAAAGTATACATCTCCAAAATAGACCCTAAAGTCAGAGCACTGCCACTCACATAGTGCAAGTTTCACAAACTGCAGTATGTTGACTAAAAGCCAGGAAGAGGGGAATGCACTGAAAAAGTCAGTATTGAAAGGAAAGAAGGAACAGCTATTCCTAACTGCTCTTTAGGTCATACCTTACCTTATCAAAGGGAGGGTAATTAATAGGCTGTTTAGAATATTCTTGAAATCTAATGTGCAAAGCTGTTGCGTTTTCAGTGTAAGGGTTAGTCTGGACAGTTCCCATGGGATTCAACATTTCTTCAAGTTCATCTGAAACATTCAACAGAACAATTAATACTATATCCCAGGCAAGCATTAAAGTATTGCAAATCTGAAAGGCAAAGACACAGTAAGAAACTGCTTACTGTATACAACAGACAGAAGTAGGTTTTGCTGCACAGCACTTTTAGTACAATGCACTGCATTTCAACCATAAACTACCTCCTACATTCCCAAATGTTGGATCACCCAATGAGAAACCAATTTTCTCTTTAACAAATAAATGTAACAGTCAAGGGAAGCTGGGATATCCCTATACTGAAACAATCCCAGCTTCTGCAGACCAGGATACACACTGCCTACATAGGAAAAAAAGAAGAGTTTTGAGCCAGCTTCCTTTCAGCACTACAGCCAAGCTGATCCAGGGTTTGTCAAGAAGGAATAGAGTGTGATATGGAGGTTTCAGACAGTCTCACTAATCACTCTGAATATCAGGGAAGAAGACAAGATTCTACTCCACGTTTTTTGCTGATGCAAATATTGTCACATACACTACAGTTTCTCTATTTAGTTTTGGATGCAGAGCACAGGGGACCAAATGAAACCTAAACTGCTTCATAAAAACAAGTAACACTAGATATAAACATGCATCTATTTTTATGTGGATTTCCTTCCGTAAGAGAAAAAACTTTTAGAATACTACTCCCAAGCAGACTCTTGCTCCTCCTCTTTCCTGACAAACACCACTTTGAAGAAAGAGATTGAGATGCTATATATTAATCCACATAAAATATACAAGCAGTAAAGAGACTGTGACAGAATTGGACATGCATACAGTAAATATTCTACTATTTGCTACTACATTCTCCAGTACTTAAAGTCCAAATCTTAAAAGTTAAACTTTACCAGGAAATGATGACCAGCTGTGCAGTACCAGTTCTCCATTCTTCAACTGTCCTTTATAATCAAACACCATGGTATTTACCCAGGCTACAGGATAATGCTGTCAAAGGAAAGAATTTTTACAAAGAAACTAAGAAGCCAGAGAAAATTACTACACAGAATATTACTACCATATAAAAAAATTGAGAGGGTGGTTTGCTTTTTGTTTCAGATGGTGCTATCTTTTGGAAAAGCAGTTAATCACATCCTTAGTTTTCAGCATGTAATCCAGTACCACTGAGGACAATAAGACTCAATTTTAAAGGTGTCCCTCTGTCCATGTAAAATTGCACATTTCCCTGAATGTGAGCCTAGATGCTAATTTTTTTTCATCTTTGCGGACTCACAACTCATCTACAATTCAGAACAAAACTGACCTTATAAAATATAATTCTTTAAATAGCTATGTGACAACTGACTTCAAACCAAAATTTTCATGCTTTTTTTCAGTGTCTGGGAAGCATCAAAAGTTTCTTTTGAACCAAGGTGTGCAATTCTTAACATATATGCTCTTTTTGATATCTTTTCTCCATTTTGCCTTCTTGAACACTAAGATGAGGACAATGAAAGATTTCTGAACACTCATTTCAAAATAATTCAAAGGGCACTCAAGAAAAAAAAAGAAATAATTACCACTTTTCCTGCTTTCCTAATGGTTTGGTATTTGGAAGGATTCATTGCCTTGGTGGACTTCTTAGTTTTCACCTTATCCATCACAGCATAAACAGCAAAGCAGAGCCTTGCCATCCTTGGCAGATCACAGACATTGATTTCGAACTCAAGCACTTCATTCCAAACATGGTCACTTCTCCCAGATATTTCTGTGCTTACAATAGTTTTACAGAGCAGCTCTGTACCATGGAAAAGACCAGCCCTAACATGAACCTGCAAGAATGAAATGAGAGCTTTTAAGCCTGTCACAGAACCTACAGAATTTTGTATAGAATGTTATACAGAACACATGTGAATTTCATCAAACAACTAAGCAAAATTAAAAAGTTAAGAGTAATCTCCACGTACAACCAATTTGTGCTTCTAAATGAGAAAAGTCTGGGATTTTTTCAGCTTAGGAAAAAGTTCGTTTTTTACTGAAGCTGTTTATAAAAATGTACAGAGGAAACATTGCTGACTCTAACATCAGAAATCACCTGTAATAGTAACAACAAAGTACATGATTTTCAGTAATTGTTCCATCTTTAGCACACAGAAACCAGCAAATCCAAGTAGCTTGAACTATAAAAGTAAGGATCAGGAAAGGAGAAGGACAAGAATATAAAGAAGATGGAGTTACTGGCACTGAAAGGAAACACACTGCAAGGCAATGCTAAGATGTACCTCCTCTCTGCATTTCTGTTTAATAACATATGTACACAGAAAATTGCATGTTTTCAAGTATCTATACTCTTGGACAGATTCAACCAGAATGACAAGAAGGTTTCTGGTTTTGTTGCCTGGGCAAACACCAGAGAGAAATATGCCAACTTCTTGCATGTGGCAGAGAGAGAGAGAACCCTACAAATGTAACCCTTTGGTCAACATCAAATAAAAATTCTCAGTGTTACAGTTCAATGTGTAAAAGTGAACTGCTGTTTCAAAGTTCCCTATGCACCTTCATCAGCCTTCCCAACATTCCCTTTAAGCTATCATATTATTTCTGAGCACCGCAAGGGAAAGACAGATGTCAAAATTTTGGTACAGGTTTTGGATAAAAAAAAAGAATTCACCTTTCTAATTCTAGGATTTCCAGTCCTATTAATGCAAGGGATTTGATCCCAATTTTTTCCTTTTCACTCTGACACTGACCTTTTCCTAATGAAACAATCTGTACTGATGGTGCAGCCAAAGAGCAAGATGAAAAGAAAAGCAATTTAAAACGTCATGTATTTGGAAAACTGGGTGTTAGACTGCTGAATGAGGTAACGTGTGCTCTAGGTGAAAGCACCCAATCCAGCCCACACTAGTGCAGTGCTATCCACCTGACCAGTGTTTTGTTTCCCACTACAAACACTGCATTTGTGAGCCTTGGCGGTGGTTTCAGCAAAAACAGATGAATATTGGCTTGATCCAAAGCACAATAGGACTAAATGAACAATGACACTGAATTAAACAGCCTTAGAATCAGAACTAGAAAACAAATGCCTTCTCAATAGTGACAATATTTCATAATAGTGTAGACAGACAGTGCAGGAAAACATGCACAAGTTTGCAAGGTTACTACAGGCACTCTTGTCCTTGGTTCACTACAGGACCTTTAAGCTTTCAAGACTAAAAAAGCATTCAAAATACTAGATAATATCTAGATGGTGCAAACAGGCACCAATACAAAACACTTCAAGCTTACAACCAAAATATTTTCTTTTTCCTCTAAGAGCATAGTGAAATTAACCAAAACTCACTTCATTAAGCATTAAGAAAGCATCAAAAAAACCCTGATGGTTATTTGCTTCCAGAACCCACATTCTCTTTTCCCTTCCTTTTCTTTTAATAACTTAGAAGCTAAGAACATAGAGTTAAGAAGGTAGTAGAACTATGGAGAGGCTGAGGGAGCTGGGGGTGTTTAGCCTGGAGGAGGCTCAGGGGAGACCTTATCACCCTCTACAACTACCTGAAAGGAGGCTGTAGTCAGGTGGGGGTTGGTCTCTTCTCCCAAGCAACCAGCAGGAGGACAAGAGGGCACAGACTCAAGCTCTGCCAGGGGAGGTTTATATTAAATATTAGGAAGAGATTTTTTACAGAGAGAGTGATCAGGCATTAGAATGTGCTGCCCAGGGAGGTGGTGGATTCACCGTCCCTGGAGGTTTTCAAGGTGAGACTGGATGTGGCACTTGGTGCCATGGTCTAGTGACCATGGTAGGGTTGGACTTGATGACCTTGGAGGTCTTTTCCAACCTGGCCTAATTCTATGATTCTATGATACCTAAATAATGGTTTTGGCAAAGAAAAGGGAAACATCTGGTTTTACAGACATTCATTTCCACAATCACCAAGTTTCAGGTAGCAAAATATAACTATGGCTCATTTAGCTCTGCAATAAAATATAGTATTTACAAAGAGGTTGTAACAATAGTTTTGAATTAAAAAAGTGCACCAAATATCCTGACTGAAGCATCAGAAGAGCAAACATCAATGGCCAACTGATTCTCTTCCTTGTCTACATGGCTGGCTATACAATTCATTGACTGCCAAACAAAATAAAGGAAATTAATGTGGTTCTACCTCACAGGGATGTGTCTTGTAAGATCTTAAAGTCGTTGTGCAATAAATTCCCATGTGTTAACAACTTGTGGTCTGTACAACAGTCAGTAGCCCAGCCTGGCACGTTTTTACAGGAAGTGACACTACAGCTTTGTGTCTTTGTGTTTCTCATGTTTAGAAAATAAAAGACAGATTGTAGAGAAGCATGCAGTCCGTGTTTAGACATATAGAATATATTTAGGACTACAAGAACCCTTATGTTCCACTGCAAAATGTTTAATATTTAATCTACTTCTGTGGCAGGTGTTTACAACAGCCTATTTTGAATAAGCTTGTTTGACATCAGTACCAGCACTTTACAGACAGTCTTAAGAAATTCAAGTACCATAGGAACATTCATGTCATACCACCACAATTACTGACAGTGTTCTAATGCACACAGCCAACCTCAGACAATAAAGCAGTACTTGAGCAATAAAGACAGACTTTAACCACTGCTACCAATGTAACTGGAAGTATCTACAAATGCTTACACTTTGCTCAATTGAAATCTGCATGACTCTGAGTTCACTTAACATTGAAAATCATTAAAATTATAAAAAATATGTCTTCTGACACTAGACATAGTTACTTACTTTGGCATTTTCTTCTGTATTTAGTTTATTACCCTTTAACAGAATAATCTTGAAAGGGTTGGAAATATCCCACACACTCTGAGAAGGGAAATAAAGACACAAGATCATTTGTCATCAATGTAACAAACTAAGACCTATTTTATAAGCTAAGCATTTTAAGCAAAATTCGTAAATACAAACTAAAAAAAGTATGCATCTTTAAAAATAGATCGGTTACCACAACTACAAGAGCAGACAAAGAAAAGACTCAGCTGAAAGAGGGTTGGGAGTGAGAACATACATCATGCACTACGTGGCAACAATTCAGAGTGACCCTTCAAATTTGTCGTTCATTCTGAATAACTACAGAGTGTGTAATAGAGCAAAGATCTGTCCATATTTCTTAGAGTGACAGTTCATAAATTCTAACTGTGCTGTAAGGCCATAAGTTTGTTACTAAAGGAAGCACCAGATAATAAGAAAGTTAGTTGTATATTATGTACATTATGGCAGAAGTTGCCATCACTGCAGTGACAACACCATGCAAGATATCTGGGCTAACACAAAAGACCTCAGACCACTACTGCTCAAGCTAGTGGAGCCTACACACTTCTCTGAAGCTGGAGAGCACAGGTTCCCTCCAAGAACTTCTTCAGCTGCTGGTGACAAATTATTACCTGCTCTTCCGGGTTGTGATTAAAAGTAGAAGCAATAGCAATGGAAAAGGGGTGAGGAAAGGGGAGAAGGAGGATGGATGAGGTGAGGAAAGGTAAGAAGTTTCCATAAAGCCTCAAGGTCTGCTATTTCTGAGGTAAATCTCACAAGCAACAGGAGGCTCCAATTAGGCCCAGGTGAGCCACACTGGAAAGCAACAGTATTAGCTCAAATCCCAGGCATTGGGGTTTATATTCCACAAGTCACTGCTCATTTCGGTATTAGACACTCTCCATATGAACTTACAGTTGTTGTTCTTGTTTTTTTTGGTGGCAGAGGAAGAGGAAGGTTGGATGATTTTCGGTTTATGGCAGCTTCTATGGCAATCATCTCCTGCTCACACATCTTCTTTATGGTGCAACACTCGACCAGAGTCAGCTGAGGAAGAGTCCTGTTCATCACACAGTTGCGGATATACTAAAAGCCCACGGAAAACAGTTGTTAGCAGCTAGCAGAGAGTTTCTACAGCAACTTTCAAATCAAAGAAACAAGTAATATATTACAAAGATACAAAGGAAACAGTGCATGTGTATTTTACAGTTGGAGGGGGCTGCAGACATGAGGACACAGGGTGTTACTGTTCAGCATAGCCAACCATCCAACGGGACAGGAAGCAGTTTTGGCCAAGGCAGCAGAGAACTGTTACACCAAGTTCCAAAGAGCTTTATGTACCTGAAACTGAATTAACGGATGATCACCAAAAACATATTCTAGCTTTCCACTAACTTGCAGCACATAGTCAGCAGGATCAACTTCCTCATCTTCTTTTCCATGGATAGTCAAACGTTTTCGGATTGCCAGCTCGTTCAGCTTCATGGGATTCATGTTAGGAGACACTTGAAAACTAAATACATCCTAACAAAACACAAACAGAAATACTGAATGTCAAACTTGTCACAGTCAGATGTACAAGGCTTAAATTGCAGCATACACCATAAAATAGGTAGAAGTAACTGCTAAAGCCAGCCTATTTTAACAGTTACAGGTCATGTCTACATCTTCAGGGAAACCACAATTACAGTCACCCTAAAAGCTGAAAATGTCAATTCCCAAAAGTTTATATTATCAGAAGTACCTGTAAGAACACAGACCTCAGCAGTGATTTAAAGCCTTGTAGAGCAGTCGACTGCTCTAGGGGTTTGTATTTTAGACTGTGAATGAGGGAGACAAAAAATCATGCATACATTACAAAGTAGTTAGCAGTACCAGATGAGTTAAGTTTTCTTCTTTCTGGCCACTAGCAAGTTACCCTCTAAGTATTACTGTACTCAGAAGAAAAAGAAAGAGTCGAGTAATAAGTAATTAAGCAAAAGAAACTGCTCATTTATGGTGATTTATGTACAAAACCACCATCAAACTGAGAGGAGAGCTGAAAAGAGGAGTAGCACCCAATACCTGCAACGTTCTAAATATGCCATGGAAAGATTCTGGATTTGCTAAGAAATTTTTTATCAAAACTTTAGATGCTATGTATTTCCAAAATATCTCTAATTTTCCTATGTTCTTAAAAGATAAAGGTAAGAATTTGCTTTCTTCTGTAGATTAAAGAAAAAAAAGGTTTAAATTTGTTTCAAGTTCCTAACATTAAAGGTCTTCTGTGAAATCTTTCATCTTTTATCTGCCACATCACGCTCTGCACAAGTTTATTCGCAAAGGTTGATTTGGGGAGTGCTGAGGCTTTGCTGTTGTTTGTTGGGTTGAGCTGCTGTTTGTGGGTTTGTTTAATTATTATTTTTATTTGCACACAGAGTTCTGAATTCCAAACCCAGTAATGCACAAATGTGAAGTGTGTCTGACTTACCTTCCTTTGACCTGTGCCTTACTTCTATGTGTGCTCGCTGGGCAGAAGCTAAGCTGCCATAATGGAAAAAGTGAACTCTAAAGTCATGCTACATTAATTCTGTATTTTCACAGTTTCTGCACGGTTCACAACAGCTTCCACCTTTCAGAAACCTGCCACAGTATGAAGGCTTTCTTCTGCTATCAAAACTGGTAGTGGGTAGACAGGAAATAACACTTTCTTCCCAGGAAGCTGGTGCTCTGAGAGCTGCCTTCCTTCCCAATTGTAGGGCTGTACACATATGTCACAGAAATGGGGATCAGTCTCTCTTGCTTCAGGGACAACCAAGTAGCTCTTACAGCTCACCCACATCTCCTAGACAACAAGTCTTTTAGTATTTCTTTCCCTCAATCTTGCAGCTGAAAGAATTGAAAAACACAACAATCCCTGTACGTTCCAATTTAATTCACCTGGGATGATTCCAGTACTCAGTGGAAGCAGTAAAGTCTGGAATAGAGTTTACTCCTCTAAGAAGCAGCTCAGCTTTGGACTGTTAATAGCTCTGAAGGTCAGAACTGGCAGCAGAAGCATTTGAAACATTTGAAATGTCAGCAGCCTAAGCTATTATAGTGGCAAGCAAATACATTCTGCACCAGCATGAACTTTTGCATTGCTTTTGTACTGTCAGCACACACATACATATGCAGTATTTTGATCAAAAGCTGACAGACACACAAATATTCTCACTCCTGGACAGCTACAAGTTCTCTGCTAAGCATTCCATTTGATTTACATCCTTTATCAATCCTGTGCTAATTCAGATCCAGAGCAGGAACAGTACATGAAATGGGATCAACAACCACTCCTACCTGGCAGTTATCAAAATGAACAGCCACTACAAGATTTCCACTATAGAGCTTATCCTGGAAGCTCTCTGGGATAACAGGTTCCTGTTCTGGTGGGTAAGTGTGCTTTAACCAGTCCATCCAGGAGAGACCCACAAGTGACTGAATCTTTTCCTCACTGATCCTCCGCATTTTAGCTCGGAAGTCATTCACTTCAGGATCTTGTAAGGCATCAAATTCATGGAGACCTGAATGAATTCAAGCAAGCAAAAGAATACAAATGAATCAATGTGTCTCTTAGGTACTGCTAAATGGAGAAGCCAACCTCACCCTGAGTTTAATATAGTTTGAAAAGTTTTAAGTCTCTCCCCACAACAGCATCATAAAGACCACAGAGCAGAAGTGTTTGCAAACTATCTTTTTTAATCCCACAGAAAGATGACATCATCCTCTTTAATTTTATTTAAAAGTCAAAAAAGAAGATCTTAAGTCAAAATGACATGACTGAAATTCCAACCAATCCAAGGTCAGTAAAGTTCCTTTTCCAAACCTGTAAAGAGAGAATACACAGGGCAAGTCCTGCCTGACCAATTTAGTGGCCTTCTTGTAGTGGTGTGACTACATCAGTGGACAGGGTAGGGGCTATGGATGTCAGAAAAAGATGTATTTGATGGGTAGGCTGTTCAGTACATGAGAAATCAGTTGGACAGTTGCATGCAGAGAGTAATGGTCAATGGCTCAGAATTCCAATGGACATCAGTGGTGTCCCTCAGGGGTCTATAATGGGACCAGTGTTATTTGATATCTCTATTAATGACACAGACAAAGGGATTGACTGCACCCTCAGCAAATCTGCTGATGACACCAAGCTGAGAGGTGTGCTTGACACACTTGAAGGACAGGATGCCATCCAGAGAGACTTGGACAAGCTCAAGATGTGGCCCATGGGAATCTCATTGAGGTTCAACAAGACCAAGTGCAGGCTGCTGCAGCTGGGCTGGGACAACCCCTGGTATCAATCCAGGCTGGGAATGAACATATAGAGAGCAGCTCTGCTGAGGGGGACTTGGGGTGCAAGTGGGTGAGAGGCTGGACATGACACAGCAATGTGTGCTCTGAGCCCAGAAATTACCTGTGTCCTGAGCTGCATCCAAAGCAATGTGGGCAGCAGGTGAGGAAGGGCATTCTCCCCCTCTATTCTGCTCTCATGACACCCCACCTGGAGTACTGTGTCTAGGTTTGGGGCCTCCAACATAAGAAGGATGTGGGCCTGCTGGAATGAGTCCACAGGAGGCCACACAAGATGCCCAGAGAGCTGAAGCATGCCTGCTATGAGGACAGGCTGAGAGCATTGGGGTTGTTCAGCCTGGAAAAGAGAATGCTCTTGGGAGACCTTATAGCACCTTTCAGTACCTAAAGAGGGGCATGGAAGAAAGATGAGGACAGACTTCTTAGCAGGGACTGTTGCAACAGGACATGGGACAACGGTTTTAAACTAAAAGAGAGCAGACTTAGATCAGATATAAAGAAGAAGTTTTCTGCAGTGAGGGTGGTGAAATGCTGGCGCAGAGGGGTGGTAGATGCCCCATTCTGGAAACATTCAAGGTCAGGTTGGACAAAGCTCTGAGCAACCTGGTCTAGTTGAAGATGTTCCTGCTAACTGCAGGGGGCTGGAACTAGATGACCTTTAAAAGGTCCCTTCCAACCCAAACTATTCTGCGTTTCTATGATACAGTGGAGAGTCCACACAGCTGTGATTCTCTGATACTTCAGGACATGTAGGGCCTGCAAGTGCTTCTGTATTTTCTCCTGAACTTTGAAGGACACTGTCCAAACCACACAAAGCACTGAACACCTTTTGAGAACAAAACACTAAGTTTAGAAGCTCAGACAGGAACACGTCTCCCACTGCTAAGGTACAGAATAGAGGCTGCATAAGGAAGGATCAGCTATAATAAGCCAAATATTCAATCACAGAATGTGAATCTCTCAGAATCTGTCAAAATCTGTCTGAATGGTTAAACTGGCTAACTGTTCCCATTGTCAGCTTTAACAAACAGGCAGACAGTGCACTGCTGAAATCTAAACAAAACCTGCAGTCTTTATAAGAGAGCTAACAATGGTTCATTGTTTCAAAACAAGAGGTATGACCTCACACAACCCTGTCAATCTTGATTGTATAACCAGAGTAGATTTAAAAGCTGAAAATTCTGAAATAACATCAAGAATAAGTTACTGTGAAACCTTTAAAAATAGCTTTTCATTGTTTGATGAAAATCAGTGTCACAATTGAGAGCAAAAACAAGAATCATATTGTTATCCAACTCCGACACCATTTATAATAAAATCATAAGTTCCAGTTCCTTCTGTGGATCCAGTTTGCTGTTAGGCTTTCTATGGGAACACTGTTTGAGGACTATGCTTTCTTTCACTCAGTAATAATAATAATATATTTTCTCCTCCTCTACAAAATAAAATTTGCTCTTGATTGATGTAGTAATACAATACAGTGCCAAAATGCAATACAGAAAAGTAGCTTTAAACAACTTTCATATGTTTCATCTTGAGTATATAATTTCTTTCCAGCTACATCAGTAGTTGTTTGAGAAAGGGAAATACTTAAATGTCTAGTGCATTTGTGAAAAGAAGTTTCACTGTTACCTGCCCAATTAAGACCCTCATCCACAACAAAGTTTACCCTAATTTTAAAAAAAAGATGAAATTGAATTACCTTTGCCTATAAGGACACCTATTTTGGAATCCAACTTTTCTCCTGGATCACAATTCCTTGTCACTAGTTTAAGGACAGGAAGAAAGGGTCTAACATCACAAAGTCTCCGTGTTTCATCCTCTAGTTCTTCATGTACAGCAGTCTGATTCACACATGAGAACATGTAAGAGTCAATCTCCATGAGGAGATGAAAGAGTGGATAGGCATGTGCCTGCTTCCATAACAGCTGCAATGAAAACAAACCATTACATGAAATAAACCAAGCAAGCACTGACATATCTTAGGGCACTGAAGGTAACATTAATTTCCATTTATGTTCCCAAAAGAACAGAAAAGTAACATGTTTGCCAACTGGTTCATTTTTGTCTCTATATATTATTTTATATTTGCTTAGTCTCATTTGTAGTCTCTATCTTGAGATTATTTCTAAGTAGCAACTTGTGTACATAAATATCCCAAGGGCAAAAACCACATAGGGACAAGTACTATGAGGCGAAGAGAGAAAGGCAACACTAACCCTCATCCTGACACTTACCTGGGATTCCCCAGTATAGTCCTTTTTGCAGTGAAATCTATTATGCATGCTTAAGGAGTAGATTACTTCGTGTGGTAATTCACTCACTACCTAATTCCACGGTAACTTGTTTAAGTGTCCTCACATGGCCATTACCTGGTGAAAGTTCAGTGGATTATTCCTTAATATCTGTGGTTATTTCCTTACCTTCTCCCCTTCCTTTGATTTGGATATTCCCTCATATTTAACATCATGCCCTAACAAAGCACTTGTACAAAACCTTTAACAAGTGGCACACATAGTTTTTAAGCATCCACCCCTGGTGTCTATCAAAATAAGCAGGAGCACAATCTGGGACTTCTCTACTAAAAATCTAATTACACACATTAATCTGAGAAATGTTACATCAACATACAATGTATTACCAATGTGTTCAAAAAGGTTTAGAGTAGCAATAGAGCTATTAGAATAATCTCTGCTTAAGTCTATCACCAAGTAGTTTCTCCAAACCTTGCCACCTGCCAAAAAACACTGCAAACCCCCACATGCATATAGACCTTTATTAATCAATCTGCTTGCACATGCCTTCAAGGCATTGTTTTTATGCCTGCTCAAATTTATTACTTGATTTGCCAAAAGGCACATAAAAATCAGAAACAGCTCTCATGCCAAACACAAGCTAACTCTAGAGTTAACTGCCCATTTGGTATTACCTGTTTAATATGAGATATGGTGGCATCTCGAGGGACATCCAGGTTGATGTAGATTCCAGTGGGCAACAGGAAATCCACAGATATTGAGCCATCAGCACCAATCTGTGAATCCACTGCCCAGATGTCAAGGCTGTCTGTCACGGCAGGAGGCATTATGGAATCTCAATAATATCATAACCACATGGCCTTAGGGAGAAAAAAAAAATTAAAATTCAGTATACTTAACCTTTTATAATTAGAGACACATTTTAGAGCCTTTGGAAAGTTTACATAAGCCTGCTTGTACAGCTCAGCTTACAAGTCTGGGGTCTCAAATGCCAGTATTGCAAACACATAAGCATAGTTTTACTCATTAATGTTACTTAATATAATAAAAGTACTTGCCTGGCAAGGCACTATTGTTGAGATGGTTTTATCATTAAGACAAAGTAATAAGAGAAAAAAACTAACTAATTAGAGGTTAGCTAAAACAAAGTTAGAAATAAATTTCAGGTTTTCTCTAACACTTTACCTGTACAAAACACAAAGTAAACTTCTTGGCTGAAGCATGGCAATATTTCATATGAAAGCATATGATCAGCTGCAAATTTCCTGTTAGTTGTCCACAAATGTGTCCAACGATATACTCAACTTGAAAGTCTATATTAATAGCAGGAAAATCATCTTCAACTCTATTAGAAAGTGACATTTTCCCCTATTTTATCTCACTTTGTTCTCATACTTAGAGAAAGATCATCCACTATGAATTCAATCAACTGTGTAAACTACATCCACGGCAGGGTAGGAGTAAACTCTTTCTGTGGTGTACTTCAACTCACTACACTGTTTTCCTGATTACTTGTCCTTTGTATTTCAAGACATTTTTATTTACTCTTAATGCTACCACCAGTTTGTCTGACCTTCCCAGTCTTTTTTGATTATCACTCTCCAAAGACCAGTTTTCCCTTTAACAATGACTCACTGAAGTATTTACCTTCCTCTTCATCCAGACAATGCTCTTCAGCTAACAAAGGGATGGGAAACATTGTACAACACTATTGTAAAGCTCTTCAATGCAGACAAGCCCCCCCTACACCTTTCTAATTCTTGTTGGGCAGCATGAGATGTGGGAAATCACCATTTGTAAAAGAATATACCATGATGTGCAACTTGATTACTGTTACAGCTTTCCATTACTTTTATTCGTCCTTTCCTTGCATTCCCTACAATGGATAACATATGCCAGCAGCACAAAAATCAGCTACTCCAGAAGTATAACTTTTCATTGAAGAACAAGCTATTAGTATTTCCTACACATTATAAAGGGCTCTTCAGTGCTAAATTTCACTGATCATCATTGCTAAACAAACAGCACCTCTTAAATCACCACTTCACAATATTCACAGTCCACCTCTCCCTTATTCCTCAGTACTGGTTTCTACCCCTCCAGTCACTGTAAATACATAAAACTGCTCATGTGGCATTTGGCAGAATTCAGGAGATGAAAATCTCCAGCAGAGAAAGAGGTTTGGCTAGGAAGAACTGAAATCTCCTACAGCTTACCAGTCTAGAACAGCCTGTCCAAAACCCACATGGAGCCCAGCTAAATACTCCAGGCAGCTGTGTGGTACCACAGCTGTGCCCCTGACAGCTTGGCAGTTCAAAGCTGCCTCGGGTACAGGGCAACACTCGAATCTCAACTCTAACTGCCATGTAAATACGCCGAATAATGAGACCCAAGTCATTCCAACACTTTTCCATTCAGCCTTCGCCAAGCTGTGAGGACCCAGACAAGTACAACTGCTGCCAGTGCATCTTGTTACCACACTAAGTATGTGGATCACTTCATACTTTGTTTGTACTAGACAAAAATATAGCAGAATTTTCATTAAAGCCAAACAAAATCCCTATAAATTTCAGAAAGCATAAATATGTAAGGAACAATTAGGGAGCTCCTACCATCATCGTTACTGAATAATAGTTTACCACAATCATACTCTCATTTTGCTCTCAAAATATATAAAGTTCTTGTTGCAGAGTTCTTGTAAGATACTTGATCATAATTACAAACTTCCAACACAGACATCAGAATCTTTTAAAACTCCATTTCCATTTTCAATTAAAAAGGGAAGAGCAACCATCACACCAATCTGAGCATGCTGGGAAGCTATTATTGCTTTCAGGCACTTACTTAATACTTCCTTCCTCACGGAAGCAGGTCAGTGTGTTTCACAGCCAGCACCCTGTTGGTGACCCGAGAGCTGACAGCACTGGGGGCAAGAGAGAACCAGTAACTGTACTGAGCATAACCCGACTGCCAACCCACAGAGGCTGTGAGAGTGAGTCACAGCCCCAACTGCAACACGTGTGGTGGCACTAGTGACTGACTAACAATATCACATCCAGGAACTCAAACAAAGGCAGAAAGCCATCTGGATTGGGAGCAACAACACCAGAGACATTCTAAACACTTCCAGCTAAAGGGAAAAAGCAACAATTAAAAATAATAATAAAAAGCTATTTCAGGCTGTTAACCTCATAGCTATTTTTGCCCCCTGTCACAGTAACAACAACTTCAGATACAAAAGAAGGAAGTAATTAAAACAGTACTTAAACTTGGGTATTCAAGTATCTAATCAATGACTGAACTTCATAGCAGCAAAGCCCAATCCAAAATGTTTTTCAAGCCACAGGTACATAGTATTGGCAGACAGCATTCAAAACTTCCCAGGGAAAGTTTACATTTCCTCTGAACTTTAACCTGTGCATTTCAGGTCCATGTATCTGTGTATTACACACACTCTCAATCTCAAAACTGCCCAATTTGTATTTTAATATACCAGCAGGTCTCAAAGAGCTGCTTAGACTACTGGAAAGAAATGGAACACAGATGAGCAGAACATCTGCAGAAAAAGAAAATTTAACATTCATCTGTATGTTTACTTATTTAATGCACACATACAAGAAGCCCTACAACAAGATTTCTCAGTTGGGTGTTGTTTTGTTTTTTAAAGGACTTTTCAGCTCTAGGTGGACAGAAACAGCTCTAGTGCTAACAGCCTTATTCCAGAAGCCAAGAGACCTTGTAGCTTCCCCCATGCCACCCAACAAAAGATTATCTTGTCATTTAACCAACCTGGAAAAGGCAAAAAGGAAGAAAAGGAAAAAACAAAGGGGGGGAAAAAAGGGCTAGCAGAAGCAGGCTGCTGCTTCATTGATTCCTAAAATGGTTTCAGGAAAGATGACAGTCAAAAGTAAGCTACAGATACATTTCTGTGAATCGCAGCCCACTCATTTTTTTCCCCCTAACCAAAACACAGAACTAGAATCATCCATGCCTGATCTACACAGTGCTGGTACAAAATTAGTCTGAAAAAATAATGTAGGCAACACTTCCAGAAAGTGTCGGCCACCAGTAGAACCACTGGAACATTACACAGTACCAGTTAACAAACCCCAGGCATTCAGAACATCCCCAAGAGCTACAAGACTTATTTTTCAGACTAAGGGATGAGTAGGGTTTCCCAAACTGTGATTACAAGCTGGGGCTGTGTCCCCTTACTAAGCCACCCACTCAGCAGCTAATTCCATTTTCCTGAGAAGACAGGCAAGCCTAGTTTGTGCCAAACTCAACTCCATTGTGACTACCTCAGGACATCACTGAGGGCACAGGACCACTCAGCTGCAAAGGCTTCATACCACTGCTGCGAGAGGTGGTGAAATTTTACCTCTGCCAAGTAGTTAACTCGCACATGTAAAGGAATTAAAATCCATGAGGTGCAAAACACAAAACAGTGCTGACCAAGAAGATACAAATGACAAGGGAACAAGGGAGAGTTGATAAGGTTATCCTGAAATTAAGAGCTGAACAAGAGCATGCTCAGAGACAGAGTCTGTCTGCAGGAACTGCAAAAAATCAGACATGCAGTAACAAAGCCATGAACTTGCCTTTGAAAATGATTTATCATATCAGCAAAAGACTCAGACATTAAAAAGTACCAAATCCACTTGGACTGTCATGAACACCTAACATTAATATGTGTCAGATAAGTTCTTCTAAAGCCAACATTTTGAAGAATGAACTAATTATGAAAACTCATACTATGTCATTAAGTCCTCTCCGTGTGAACTCACCACAAATCCCCTAACACTCATCATTTGAGGTCTATTTTTATGTTACCAAACGAACAAAATTCAATGCAACATTCAATCTACTATCCTGAAGCATAATCAAAAATAATACTAATAAAACAAAGTTGCAAGGAAGCTGGTAAACATAAACACCCACATACCACAGTGTTAAAGGAAAACTCTGATGCCCTATTAACTCTTACAGCATTTATTCTCCTGGACTTCTTCACTGCACTGAGAAAATCTAGTCTCCAGACAAATCTTCAGAAAAGATGTCATACATCTGAAATGATGTCACCTACACCTGAAATGTGGTAACAGTTCTCTCAGGATGAAATAAGTATGCTATCATCCCAAACAGATGGCCAAAAGTTGGGGGGAGGATCGCCTCTGCATGGAAAAAGTAATTTTCCTTAAGAAATAAGTTCTTTTACACCTCATCTTCCAAACACAGTTGCATTTTAAGGGCAAAAAAGTATCTAGAGCACTTCAGGTTAAATATAAACCTGGATTTACTTTTCTTTTCACTAAAACCATAAATATTTACATAAAGAACAAACATCAGAAACAAGCTTGTTTTGGTTATGAAAAAAACTAAGAGCACTCTGCTTATCCGGATTTTTACTATATGTAATAAGTTGTTACAACTGTTGAACACCACATACAAGAGATGCAGCTCTTTATCTATTGCTGCCTCTGTCATGTGGCAGTCAAGGGGCTGAAAAAAAAAAAAAAAAAACAAAAAAAAAAAAAAAAAAAGAGCCTTGCAGTAAGGAAAAGAGCCACCCTACCCAGACACACAAGGACAGTGTTTAAACAATCTTACTGTCCAGAGCAGACTAGATGACAATCTGACCACAGTAATTTTCAAGGAAACAGCAGCAGCATATCACACAGTCTAAGTAGGAGAAACACTAAGCACTTACACAATATAATCATTGTAATCATTTTTCTAACTACGTAAACATCTAGTACTATAAAAAGATGAGCAAGCTATAAATCAAATATTTGAGAACAAACAAGAGGAAAAAATCTAGCAAAAAGATGGAAAAGGAGTCAGAATATGCAGGAAGGTT